TTTATGACATATTCTGGAAATTTGGGGATAATTTGGCAGATGCCACACAGTGGAATCTGAGGTATATATTTTTGGTACCTAGTAAACTAATGTTCAGAGAGTAAGGCCTTAAGAGAGTTATTCATATATGTGATACAGTTCAAATTACCCAAATGTGCAGCACAGTTTAGATCCCAGTTTCTGCTTCTTGAGTATCCATTTTGTCTTAAAACAACTGGTATAATGTCTTGGCCTTGTGGACATGCAATTCTGTTTGTGAATTAAAGAGAGATGCTTTTGCTCATATGGTTTGGAAAGGCTTTCTTTGCTGGTTATTTTCAGTGTGTGAAGCATAAATTCCTGAAGGTCAGACAAGTCATGACACATCATGGGTAAACTCATCAGCTCCTTACTTCATAGTGAGTTCAGAAGGGAGTCCATTAAGTGACGGTCATGATGTTCTGCTGCAGAACATTTGGGTTTCCCTACAGGTGTAATCGTTATGAAGTGAGTCATTAGTCATCACATTTCTGGAAGAGTCAGAAGAGAAAAAGTTCAGGGTGAAATTGAATACAGTGTTATACTTTACTTTTGTCACTCATGAGATAATGTTTTGCATCAAGCTGGTTCACTGAAAAAGTTTACTATAGCCTGGTTCTTATACCAAGTACTGATTAGAAGTTAATAAAGCAAGACATTTCCAACAGAATTTAGTATTACTAATACTAGGAATGCATGAAGATGCTATGTGCAAGCATATCCTTTAATAAAGTTGAAAACAAATATGATGGGGGTTGGGGGTTGGGATGATGATGGTAAAGGGTGACTGGGAGAGCTACCTAGTCAAAGAGAGGAAACATGAACACTTGGCGACTTTAAGTACTATGGGTTGCTAAGCCAGAAGGAAAGCAGGTGAAATCTTAATCTTAGGCACTTGGGTCTTGTCTATGCCAGGTATTCACTCATGCAACTTCAAACTCTCAGTAAATATACTGGATATATTCCTCCTGTTTGAATACAAATAGAACCCAAAGTTTTTCAAAGAGCAAAAGTTCTTTAAATCAAGTACTAATGGAGGGTTCAACATCTGAAACTTCCACAATGTTTCAGTGGAAGACTTCCACAGTGACCAGGAAAAACAATTCTGAGAAATGACAGCTTGAAGTTTAGCTCGCATTTACTGTTTCAAATCAAAAGTTATGTTTTCATATCTTAAGGTTAAATGTGATCAAGCAGGGTTGATATTTTCTGTGCTTGAAATTCAGGGTCTTTCATAATTTCCACCAAATATTTCCCAACAGCCTCTTCAGGGTAGGTCAAAGTCAAGGCTTAGCGAGAGACAAACCCTTATGTCTCTGCCTGACTGAGGACATAGGTGAGTGAACCCTACACTTTGAAGATTTCTGTGCTTTCATTCCCTTTTCTAGCTCAACTTGATTCCAGTTTTAGCCATTCTCCTCTTTAGTACATCTCCTTAGAAACAACTCTGCTGCCTGGAAATTTTTCTATTTCGTCTGGCAAATGTTGGGGTTAGAGGTGAACTGGAGGGGCTGCTGGAAAGACTTAAAATATCTTTGTGTAATTTGTAAATGGGGAGTTCTAACACTTTGATCCCTTGGTCCCCTTCCTCTTCTCCCCCTTGTCATTTTCTACCATACATGGGAGGTCTAAAAGTTTTCTCTCTTGATCTTAAAGTCATTTAAGAAGAATTTTTAGAAGTACAAATACCTTTGGGAGAGAAGCCAGGTAAGAATGGTATAAAACTGGAAGCGTCTTCCCTCCTGTCTTACTGTTCCCCAAGTCTCCTCTCACCCTTTCTCCCCTTCTCTCCTCCCCGCTCATCCTTCCCACTTCCCCCTTCTCTTCTCACAAAAGGCCTTTTGAATTTGGCACAGACACCCACCTTCAGTACAGCCGGTTTGGTGTCTGCATTTGTAACCAAATCGCAGCCCGCCAGGTTTGCCTCGGCGGTCCGCCTGCACACCTCCTCAGAGTGTGCGTGGGGGCGGGGCGACTCCCAGCCACCACCGTCTGGCATTTTCGACCTGATGCGCTCCTCTTCCCGGTCGCTAGAGAGGGGTCTCACCTAGACCAGAAGCAAATTCCTACTTTGGGAGTGAGAGAGGAGAGAGTGCTCTTGGGGAGTAGTTTTGGTCTTTGAGACTTCGGTGTCTCCACGTTCACCTCCATTCAAGGCAGAAGAAAGGGCCAACCTTCACGCCCCGAGGATTTGGCGAGGCAGGGTACAGCCCCAATCTTTCTTTTGCAGTTCTCAGACCTGTCTTCCACTTTTAGTTCCTCCCCTTCTTCACCCTTTTTGGCGTCCCTAAGTCCAGGGCCAGATTTTTCGAGAATAAGAAAGCTTCCCTGACCACAGGACATCAAGCAGAACCAGTAAGACGTGGTCAGAGGCAGGAAAGGTATGCGGGACAATTCTGTCCCAGTTCGAATCCCCCAGGTGGCTGCGGGTGGAGGCTGGGCGGATCCTTAGCTCACGTGAGAAATAAATAGGTCTTCAAAGCTTAATTTTCTGCAATTCAGTGATCAACAGTCTCAAAAATAAATGATCTACTTATCCTTTCACTTCCGTGAATGAATTTAGGACTCTAGTTGGGAAATTTTGTAATGATGGGCCTTGTGTTTCACAACAATGGTGCCTAAGTGCACAAGAGTGGAAGTGGCAAAGCCTTTGTAAGCCGGAGGAGCAGTTCAGATGGGCCCCTGAGGCCATCAGTTCTGTCAACCTCCCCACAAAGTTAATGGTGTTTGTGTTTTTCCCCCCTTTAATAAGCCCTGAAGTCAACAAACTCCCCACATGGTGGCTCCCTTTACTAAAGATGAGTAGTGAATTTGTACAAGGCTCTTGGAAATTTTCAAATATTTCTACAGATTGAACTCATTTCAAAATTCGCGTGGGAGGAAACAGTAAGGATTTTAATCGGGTTCACCTTTGACGTGAAACAAGGCGGAAGACAGGAAAGCCACCGTCAGTAATAGCTTTGGGTGCTTTAGTAAGAAAGACATCTTGGCTTGATTATCCAGTCATGTTCACCGCAGGCTCTTTGTGTGTGAGCATACTCCAGAGGCAGAGCTAAACACGGACACAAACGCACACACACATGTAAACACTCCAACAGAAATTAACGAACATATAGCAGAGAACATGCAGTAGAGACAAAGACATACATCCTCATGTAAATGTGGCTTGAAGCTTTATTGCAGATAGGCATCTGGAATGTTCCCAGGAATAAACTAAGAGGAAGCAGTTAGTTTCTGGCCATTCAGGTTAGCAATAAGCAAAACTTTGTCTTCTTGGGGGAAGTATTAAATCTAGAATAAGAGAGCGGGAAAGAAATGAGCACTGGATGAGAAGCATTATAATTTTGTCTTAGAAAAAGCATGCAGAACTAATATAGCTTTTTTGAATGCCATATCCAAATCATAGTAACAGGAAACACTCCAACTAAATTGCCATTTCCTCTAATTTGGGCTTAACATCCAAATAATTAATATGCACACTAATGGTATTGACGGTTCTATTTCCTGTTTAAAAGAAATAGACCCTAGCTTTCTTACTGGAGTTGAAATTATGAATCTCCTTAAATTACCCAGGGACTTGGAAGCCTGTGGGTAGATGTGGTCTTTCCTTATTGTTTTTCTCTTCCCACGTCATTTTCAGTCAAAAAAAAAAAATTAACGGTTCCCAACTAAGGGATTCCTGTTAGAAATCCTCAGCAAGTGAACTTGTACTGGGAATTCTTGTGCCTTCCAAGTTTCTATATTTTCACAAATAGAACTCAAGTTGTGAATAAAGTGGAAAAAACTTATTTCTTACTCTCAAATCCTAAAATTTCACTTTTTTTGTGGAAACAATTTCACAGTTTAAAAAACCACTAAGAGCCAGAGAAAGCATGAAGGCATTCAAATAGGCCATCCAGAAATCCAAAAACCAAGACTAAGGGGAGATGTAGAATGCTCTTTACTCAGACGCAGGCAGGGGTAGGATGGTTCTCAGTATTAAGGGCATTTATAGACACTTGCTGTGGGGGAGAAAAATCTGAATAGCGGCTTGATATGGGCAATAAATCGCCATGTTAATGGTGCCACTGCCAAATCTTCAGATTTAGAGTCTCTGGTGAAAAAATTAAACCAGTGGCAATTTTCAATATGTGTAGCATCTGTGGCCAAATAGTTCAGCACCAAGACCCTGGACAGCTCCACAGGCCTCGCTCAGGACGCAGCTTTAACTCTAATCAATCTACTTGTAGCCAGGCTGTCAAGGACAGCCAGACTCATTAGCGATTTACTGCAAATTCTCCAAGACTTCCCTTTAAAAACAAAACGACTTCCACATTTAATTGTCTATCTGAAAGAACATACGCAAGAAATTAGGAGATCTAAATTAAATTTATTAATAGGAAAGCTTGATGGTGCTTAATTCCAGAGACCAGATTGCTGATTGCTGGGGCTTGATAAAAAGTAAATCAAAATAGTAGGGACATAGTTAAAACATGACTTTTATCATCCTTGAAATTCTGTGAACTCTACCTATCCTTGAGAAATGGGTGAAATTGCAAACCATCAAAATAATTGGACTTCTAAAAATTGGATTGTATGAGTGAAAGGTGTTTATGAGAAGTCGATGACTCCGGATCTTATCATCCAAGAGGACAGCACAGAATAGTTAATATGTTCCTTGAGGGACTAGGATGCTGACGTCTTTTTCTGATACCCGATCATTACGTGACTGAAAAAAAAAGGAAGTCATTTCATGAATAAAAATCGGAGCGCAACAGTGCAACAAAATATTCTCTACTTAAAGGCCATAGGCAGACAGATGTTGACAAAGAAGCCTCTTCTAAAACCATGTTCGGATAGATATCTGCTAACTGCACATATAAATAGGAGCAGAGGGCCGGTCACCTCTGTAACCACCGGCAGCAGCAGAAGAAGCCGCAGCTTCAGACGCAATCAGAGGGACCTCAGAGCAGAGAAGGCGCTGCCGGCTCGAGCAGCTGCCTGACCCGGCGGGCGGCTCCCACAGACTCCCGGCCTCTTCCCTTCTCTCTTTCTTTCTCTTTCCTTCTTTTCCTTAAGTACTTCCTTCTATCTCCCGGTGGTCTTGCAACCACTTTGCTCCCCTCCCCCACTTAAGCTCACCGCTTCCAGTTCCTTCTACCTCTCTCCTCTCGCCCCCTTCTCTCTGTGTCACTCTCCCTGTTAGTTCTTTTGTGTCTACAAACTTTTGCACAGAACACTGGCCTCAGCTAACAAGTCCTCCAGCTCCTCCTGCTGCTCCTGCTTGCTCCTGCCGTTTCTCTTCAGACACTAGCGCCAGTCGGTGATGCCTCGGGGGTTGTGACTTCAACGCAGAAACTTGGAGGAGCTCTTTGCCCGCCGTCCTACTTGGCAACCAACCCTCTTCTACCAGCGGTAAGAGTTGGGTGGTGGTAAGGAAAAAAAAAAAAAAACTTACCAAACCAAACGAGTCACTTGACTACTGATTCTTTAGCGGTTATCAGGGTAGGAATTAGCTTTCCTTCGCACCAGGTCTGGGAGAGTTATTGGGCAGAAATAACTACCCCCACCTCAATTTTTTTTTCTGACTATGGGGAGAGGGACGTGGCAGAGTACGCTCAGCCTGTAATTAAGCGGCAATCAACATAGGGAACCAGAGCTTTGCTCTGTCCCTCCCCCAGTTCTGGGAGTTTCTTGGGGGCTGCAGGGTGGAAGGGCAGGGGTGTTCTGACGGCTCTGTGCGCTCTTTCCCATCTTGCGCAGAATGACCATGTGTAGCGGAGCGAGACTGGCCCTGTTGGTCTACGGGATAATAATGCACAGCAGCGTCTACTGCTCACCTGCCGCTGCCGGACTCCAGTTCCCAGGGATCAGGTAGGTGCTGGCTCCCGGGTCTGAGTTGAGGCTGGGGCTTCCCCTCCCCGGACGCCTCCTCGTGGTCGCCCTCCCGCAGTTCCTGCGTCCCAGCTGGGATCGTCTCTACGGGCGCTTCCAGTGCGTTGCAGCCAGACTGGACCCGGCCAAGGGTCCCTGACCCAGGTCTGCCCGAGGGCCTCGCAGGCTCCGAGGCAGATCCGTGTCCCTCCTCCAGCCCCCGGCAACCTAGGGGCCCGGGTGGAGCCAGCGCATTCCGCGGGCTGGAGAAACCTACCCTCCCCCAGCCCCGCCCGCGGAAGGGGGGCAGGGCGAGGACCCAAGCTTGACTTGTCGCTATTCTTAGAGCGAGTTAGGTTAACTTAGGCTTCCTGAACTAGGCCCGGGGGTTGAGCTTGAGGCTCCCTTGTACTTTGCTTTGTTACGGCTCGTTCTGGACCTTCGGGGCGGAGTCTCCCTCTCTCTCCTCACTTCAATTCGATTTTTTCCCCCACTGGAAGAGCTTTTTCAAGTGATACGTTTACCAACTGCATTTTGAGTCTTAGATTATCTTGGGGAGGGGGTGTGTAGGTAGAATATAGGTGAGGAAAGGCGACTCGAGAGAAGGAAGAACAAAAATCAGTCTGCAAGAGAGGGGGAAAACGCTTGAAACGGATGCAAAGGAGCAGGAAGAGAAAGCAAAGCAGGCGTGCAGAATCGCAAGGACAGCCCTTTCCACTCCAGGCTGCAGTAACCCTGTCTATTTTTTCTTAAACCTTCGTTTTTAATCGGTTGGCTCAGCCTGGGTTCCCCGCTGGAGCCCCAGAGTCCGCGGCGGGTCCGCTGGAGCCCGGAATCTCGCTTTGCAGCTCAGCCACCACACTCCCTGGTGCTGCGGGCTCGGGGAAGCTGGGAGCACGTTTCTGTTGGTAGCTGTGCTCTGAGCCGCGCCCAAGTGCGTTTGCTCACCTGAAGTGTCTGGCTTTTGTCTTAAGATTTCACATCTGGGGAAAGGAAGGGATAGAACCGGCCTTAAAGATTCGGGTACTCCCGGCAGGCTGGGCCAGCCGAGATCCATAGCCTAGGAAAGGCTGGGCGCGGGGCCGCAGGAAGAATGTGTCTGCTTTGCTCTTACTCCCCCAGGGATGTAGGAAAGGACAGCGAAGTAACGAAGTACATCACTGTAACCCATCCCAGAGAGCGCTACTTTCTTGCGCGGTTTTCAGAGTCTCCTGCATCCTAACACGAGGAAGGTTTTGCGTTTCAACCCACTTTCCCTGTCTTACAAGGATAGAGCAGGGCAAGAGCGACTAGGAGGCCGCTGCGGGCTTTCAATCCCCTGTTGACTCTGTCTCAGAGTCCCAGTGTTGAGTTTTCGGTCTCAACTGCCCCCCTCTCTGCCCCCACCCCCACCTTTCCATCGCTAACGGATTAACGGGAACTATTTATTTGGTGAATTTTAAAGCCCTATTTCACCCCAACAGTTTCAAAGTCCCGAGTGCCTGGCACTTTCCTGGGGCGAGGGGCGCCGAAGAGCGCGGAAACGCCATAGAATGAACTGCCGCCAAATCGTCTAAGTTTAGGGCCATTTATTATTCATGTTCCTGCCAGATCCTCTTTAGCCCAGAATAGAAGGTGGAGGTTCTCCGTGACCTACATCTGCGCGAGGAAGAGCTCCCCAGGGTTCAGGGGCCGGGCGAAGGGTGGCAGCCGGAATTGTTCTCCGCACACCACACTCACCCACCCTTTCCGCTTCGCTCCCGGCCTTTCCTTCGGGTCCCGGCGTAGGCTAACCCTTATCAGCCCAGGGCCCCTGACCACAGTCTGCCGCCGCTTTCTCGGGGTGGGGGTGGGGGCTGTGGAGCAGAGGGTGGAGGCTCGGATGGCTGGCCCAGAGGGGGGCGGTCCTTCATGGTGGCTAGGTGTGCGCGCTCGGTGGAGACGCCTCTGGCTTCCCAGTGCTCGCTGAGGCCGGGACTCTGTACGGCGACCTGTACCCAAGAGTGGAGTGGGCAAGCGCCTGGCCGGGTGGGAACTTCTGTTGGGTGTAGTTTCCTCATCTTACCTCTAGCCCCACCCCTGTCCCAGAAGAAGAGACAGTTCTCCGTGGGGAACCGCGCCAAGAAGAAAGATCAATACATGCCCCTTTTATTGGGTTCGCGAAGAGCCGGGGAGAGACTGTACTGACCACTCCTCTGCCCCTGCTACTCCCACAGGCCGGAGGACGAGGCGTACGACGAGGACGGAAACCCGCTGCAGGACTTCTACGACTCGGACCCGCCGGGCGCCGGCAGCCCCGCCTCCGCGCTGCGCGACGCCTACGCGCTCTACTACCCCGCGGGGAGGAGGTATCGCCCGCGCGGCCTGCGGGGGGCGGGCACCCCAGGAGCTGGCGGGAGGGGAAGGGTGGAGGCCCACAGAGTAGGTTCTTTTTCATAAAAGCCCCGGAGCCTCTCTTCTCCCTGGCTGGTAACCGGGAGAGCGACAGAAAGTTAGTAGCGGGTCGGCTGCGGGGGACCTGAACGGTACCGGTAGCCCAAGGGATGACAGTGAGTGCACGTCCTGGCCGGTGCGGTGCCCGGGCTCCACATCTGCCACCCCTCAGGACATAGAGCGCTTCTGGGGCTTTCTCCACCCGTCTCCTAGCGCGCCAAGTGGCGGGCCTGGCCAGCGGTGTGGGGGAGGGCGGAGACCCGGGGCGGCCACTTGGGGACCGATGCGCACTTTGCTCTCTGTTAGAGATGTCGCCCACGGAATCCTTACCAAGGCTTACCGCAGAGTGCTGGACCAGCTGTCCGCCAGGAACTACCTGCAGACGCTTGTGGCCAAGGGCGTAGGGTAAGAGTTCGCGAAATGGTTAACCGCGCGTGTGGACGCGGGCCTGATGGGGTGTCGCGGCCGCTGGCGAGCTAGAGGGGTGCGGGTCCTGCGTCGGTGCGTGCACATGTGCCCAGGTTGCTCCCGCACTTGGGGCCTCTGGGGGCCAACCCCGGCCGCGGGCGTGGATTCTGAGGTCGGACCTTAAATGTGGCGAGATCCCAGGAGATAACTCGCGAGGGCAGACAACGGGGGAGTTTGTCTAGTGTTGAATAAAAAAAAAAAAAAAAAAAGAAAGAAAAAAAAGAAACCAATCCCTCGGTCCCAGTCATTTAAACCCTTAAAGCTTCCCGGGACGATTTGTTTTAATTTTCTCTAAGCATGACTTTTTCAACGTTTCTTTTTTCTGTAAATTTAAATCGAAACAAATGTTCAAATCTGCACACTTAGGCAAACAGTGCATACTCGTGCCAGAAAACCCAGAGCACAGGGTTTGCTTGGAGCACGTCTCAGCAGAAGGCAATATTTTAATAAAGCCCGTGGGAAAACAGATTACATTTTCGCAATGAATAATTCATGCGATGAAAAATATTGCCTGCAGCCTGTCGACTTATATTATTATCACGTTTTTCAACTTAGTGTGCAGAAGGAGAGGAGTACTGCTGTCTGACTAGGGATTGCGGGATCGATGAAAATTCCACGGCAGCAGCCAATGTGGCATTCAGAGCTCTTGGATATTTTCCCTTTAAGTGGGGTTGGGGGGTGGGGGGAGATGGGGAGAGGAGCACTTTAGGCCAATTAAGCCCCAAAGCACGGATTTTTAGATCTCAAGGGCAGCGTTTGGAGAAGGTTAGGTTTAAATCGCGTGCCCTGGGCCAGAACCTTATGGGGGCCCCACCCCGAAGATTTCATGCCAGGAAATCCTTGGGAGGGAGAGAGGGTTTTCTATGCTTCGCGGCCCCTGCACCTGGAAAGCCTTGCGGTGGGAAATGAGAGCCCTTGCCAGTTTTTATTTAAAAATTTGACAGGCCGCCGCGCGGGGTGGGCCCTCCCGCACCCCGCAGCTATTGAATCTGTATCTCCCGCCCTGCAAACCTCTCCCCGACCCCTTTCCTTGCAGTGGGAACCAAGGCGGCGGCGCGGAGAACGACTCGGAGCCGCTCTCCAAGCGCCACTCTGACGGAATCTTCACGGACAGCTACAGCCGCTACCGGAAACAAATGGCTGTCAAGAAATACTTGGCGGCGGTCCTAGGGAAAAGGTATAAACAAAGGGTTAAAAACAAAGGACGCCGAATAGCGTATTTGTAGCGATGAGTTACCAGCCACCCTGTGTATACAGCCCTGACTCAATGAAAAGGCATTTTCCCAATTGACTGAACAGTCATCGCTCATGTGTTCTATCCAAACATGTATTTATGTATGAAGTAAAGCCATTAAATGAATATTTTGATAATAATATTGTTTTTCTTTTTACAAAGCACTAGAGAATGCACAGATATACTTTGTGGACCAATTATTGATATATATTATAAATATATATTAAGATATATAAGTATAGAGAGCAGTTCATACAAAGTGTGCACAAGGATTGAAAATTCGCCTGAGCTGTTTATGTTTTTATAGAAAATAAATAGAAAAATAGACAATCATTGTTTTGAATATTACTCCTATTTTTGTAAACTGGAATTAAAAGGATAGTATTTTTATCCATGACAGGCCTGAAGATATTAATACTGACCATTTGCTACTGTACATAAACAATGATGCCCTGCTCCAGGGAGATTTCGAGGTAATGATTTGGGAGAATTGCTGAATGGCATTCTTTCCCAGTGAGTCTCTGGGGCAGACTGCTTCACTCCCAGCTGAACTCCACTGGGCACTGTCCCCTTTGCTGGGTGGCAATTCCAGTACTTCTGCTTTCTTTGATTCTACTTTTATCTGTATTTATCTCTCTTTAGACTCTCAGCCCAGAAGGAAATTCTCCTAATAAAACAACAGCTCGATCCAAATTGTGCTTCTCCCCAGAATACACACCACTCCTTGGGGGAAAAGTTGAGGAATTGTACAGAGAAGGGAGACTAAGACAGGAATCTCCCTTTTCTGTACTTCCAGGGAACTCCGTATTCCAAGATTAGGGCAACTGGAACAGAGTGAAGAAAGTATAGGTATGTATGTTGGAAGAGGCAGAGCATAAGGCAGTAGGAGGACCCTGAAGAGGGACTGATTTGGGGCTGCCCCAAAGCTGGGATGCTAGGGGGCAGCCCTGTCCCACTGTCCCCTGCCTGACTGATTTTGGGCACTGGGTATTGGAAATGGTTGCAAAGTACAATGTGTTTTTCTCCAGTGCTGTCCATGCTTTTCATCTTGTGAAATGGCCTCCCCTTTGAACCCTGCTCTGTAAGAGCCTCCCCTTTCTTTTGTGGCGTTCTGAAGACTCCTCCTTCCCACTCTCTTGCTCTGTTTAAGTACCAGTTTACCATTTTCATTCACTTCTCTTAATAACTTGTGAATGCTTCTTTCTTTTTTTTGTTGTTTGATGCAAATATTTACTGTAAAGTTTAGAAACCCCTGTGAAGTTGCCACTAAGTAATTATGCACTAAATATGAATCTTTTGTTTCTTGTTTATTGAGTTTGTAGGTAAAATGTATTTTTCTACATTATGGCTTATTGCTTAGTAAAATTTATTTCATAAAACCAATCTTTGTCATATTAGAATGTGTAGTGTTCACATGTTGCTCAGTTTTGCTAACTGATAAATCATTTAAACCTCATCTTCTAATGTATGAGTACTATCTTATATTTGTGGTCAAGAGTGAGGTAAAACAAGTTCTAACAGATCCTGACAACCTTCCCTTGTATCCTTTCTTGATTACAGAAAGCATGTCTGTCTGTTTCCTATCAATTCCTTGAACATATTGAGTAATCTCTATAAACAAAAGAACCTTCACCCAGCAACCAGATCAAGTAACAACAGGCAAACCAGCCATATTCCCAAATTTCAGGCACAAATTCTTTCGGAACAGAAAGTAAAGATTAAACATTAGCTTGTAAAGTTTAAAGGACCTTTCCTTTTCCTTCACGGATTTGATCAGTATGAAGTCATAAATCAAAGAAAACAGAATTGGATTTGCGTTCCCAGCCGGGATGGATGCTGCCAGGAGATCACATTGCAAACAGTGAAAGCACAGAGGCATTCGATCTATGCCCGAGTCCTATGTACAGGATCAATCTTTCTTTAATTCTGCAGTCTCCTCAGGCAATGTGACATGGGATGCAGTTTGCAGCGTTAGTGCCTTTCTTCGCCTTTTAAATCGCCACGAATCACAGATGGCTATTTAGTGGCCCTACAATGCTGCAACACATCGGCTTGCATTTTAGTCTTAATTATTTGTTTCTTGGATAATGGGCAGAGTTTTCTGTATTTGTGTCAGCTCTTAGTGGTGAAATAGGGTTCTAGTTAGCCTTTTTTTTTTTTTAAATGAAGTCTAATTTAGTGTTCCCGTGGCTAGTTGCAAGCATTTACAGTGATCACCCAGTTTAATCTTTTGTATAATTTTTAGAAATGCCAAGAGCCTTACTAAACTGGAGCAGATATGATATAGTGATAATTTAGGTAGATGTTAGTCTTGAAACTCTTATTCTGTGTGCAACTGATTATAAAAACATCTTAACCAATTATTATTACACACATGATATCTATAACTAGGACTTTGATAACTGTTATATAAAGTGTGTAAAATTTGTATGAATAAATTTTTGTAAACAATGCAACTTCGTCTAATGTTTGGAGAAAAAAAGACATTCAGGAAATAACTACTTTAAGATCTCTTAAAGTATTATATTTTCTTTAGTGATCATAAGATTTTTCATGTCTGAAATATCTAGCTAAGCATCCATGTTTTTTTCATAAACTGTAATATCTGCTTGATGGGTTACTGGATTCAACTAAAAATTTAAAGTAGCTGCTCAGCGAGATGCCTAAGAAGATATTAAACTCATAAATAGGCATGGATGTTGGAACATTTATAAGACGCACAATTTAGATTAATCTCCATCTCCTAGTATGTATTTACATTGTTCATTATTCACAAAGTTACTATCCAGTGGTGAGAAGCAGTATCTGGGAATTAGTTATGCTTCTAAAATAGCAACCTAACATTGTTCTTTCATGAGTAGCTCTACATGGTCTCCATAAAATTTAGTATAAAAGACTGTTCTGTTTTGGAGATTTAAAAATTTGTTTAGCTCTTCAAACAACTATCTCTGATTAAATTGCTTTGGGTAGAAGGAAAGAGAATCAGTAAGCAAAAATTAATTAAATACTTTAAAAAATGCACTATGACGTCTAGGACAAAGTGTGGAAAGTCATTTGTGGAGTATTAGTTTTATTAATCCATATTAACAAACTTTAAAGCAAAGCCTTAGTATGAAAGTGCCATAAATTTCTCAGTGGTGTTTATTCTAAAGCTCTTGATGATTAGTAGGTTTGAAATATGTTGTGTTGATAGTCACTTATAGTAAGTACAAACTAATTTGAATTGCCAGATTTTTATCCTTAAATCAGTGTATTCAATTAATCCATATATATGCTGCAATAGTATTAAAAGACCAGAAGGGTCAGCAAGGATTCAAAAACTATCTTCAGAATTAACTCAGTTTTTTAAGTACATAATCATAGGGAGGAGCCTATACTCTGGAGAGTCCACTTGTAGTAAATTAAATGAGTGTAGCACAATTTATATTTACATTGGCTTTTATTGGATAAGGAGTTTTCTCCATTTTAAGCAACCTCGCACCCCCATGAGAACTGAATGAATAAATTTATATGTACACATATAAGAAAATAAAGACAATTTATTTGTTTAGGGACTAATGACTTGTCAAGAAATAGAGGTAAGCCCAAGACTTCTTTGACTTTAAATGAAGTTCATGCACACAGCAACTTGCTATATATTCTCATGTGGGATAACTCAAATTATGGCCTTTGCTTGGAAGGCTTGATATATTTAAGTACCCAAAGTCATAATATGTGCCTATTGCTATTAGGGCTAGGTACTCTTTGATTCAATACAATACATATTTGTTGAACACCTAAAATGGACCAGGCACACAGGTTGAGAGAGTTTAACACCTGGGAGTTAAGGTAGTGTTTGTCCAAAGACTATTTTTCTACAACAGGATGACCTAGGGCACTTGTTAATCATGCATATTGCAGAACCAGTATGCTTGCATTTTAAATAAAAACCTTAGATTAATGTGCATTAAAATTTGAGACCACAGGGCCTTCCTGGTGGCACAAGGGGTTAAGCACTGCGCTATGAAGCAGTTTGCAGCCTCTGCAGCATGAGTTCGATCCCCAGCCGGCCAGGGAACAAACCACATGGTGAAGCAGACCTCTCCTATCTCACCTCCTGCTCCCCTCAGCATTGTATTTCAGTCAGTCCGCCTGTTCTGTTCCACACTCTGCCTCTGGTGGGTCCTCTCATCTCCCGTATCTCTGGCCTAGACCCCAGCTCTTCTATGCATAAATAATAAATATTTAAAAAAAAAATTGAGACCACATAGACTTAAAATTTGGTGACATTCAGACATGAGTATTGGACTGTTTTTTTTTTTTCCATACAAAATAAGTAACAAAACATGGTAGCTGCACATAGTAATAAATCAATAAACCATATTCTGCGATGGACATTAGGCTCATTGAAAATTAGAAATTTCTTGTAGGTCACTGAGGCCGCTCGTTAGCATTACTTTACTTGAATGTTCTGGTTGGACCTCTGTTAAAAGAGCTTCTGGAAGGAGACTGACCTTATAAGTAGGGTCCAAAAAATTCAATCACATGACAAATTAATGAAATACTAGAACCCGTACAGCTAGCTAGCAGTAGTTTTATGGATCTAGAAGTCAATTTTCAACTGCATTATATCCAAATTTGGCTTGAAAGTGTGCCCACAAGTGTTTAGAAGATGCTTTTACTTGGATGCCCTTCTGTGACCTCAAAGCCAACCTTACTATTCACTCCTTTACCAGACTCAGAACTAAGATCAAGTCCCATAACCTCATTTCTTTCATTGTAACCCTTCTTTCAATAAGGGAGGTGTTGTCTCCTCTTCCTGTTGCCCATGGCCTTACCACAGGATTTCTATATTGGTTTGTATTTAGTCAGCCTGTTCTTTGTTATTTCCCTTCAACCAGCGAGTTTTAGGTGCTTTTTATCATGTCCCTCTGATCAGATGTCCCAGAGTAGCCTTCACAGTTAGAGAGTTCAAAGTTTTTCATGCTCTGGACCGACTTTGTAGCCTGTCTTATCTTTCACTGGTCCTCAGCAGAATCATTCTTTTTTGGAAAGATAGGTTCTTATCTTTCTTTGAACACAAATGATCCTTTTCATCTCTCAGAGTCCCTCCCTGACTGAAATGTCCTTTCTTTTCCTACCCATCTTAGATGTCCCATAAGATACAATTCAACTTCTCCTTTTGTAGGAACCTTCCTCAGCCTCAGAGTTACCATCCTCCATGTGCTCTTTTCCTGTGAGCTTTACTCTCTGTATGCTACTTCTGATCTTTAATTCTCTATTTCTCTGGACTTTTCCTTGACTTTTTGTAAGTGCGTGGCTTGTCTCCCTAGCTAGATGACCTCCTAAAAGGCATGGATGATATACTGCATTTTAACACACTTCTGGGAATATATTATCTCTTTCGATTGATTTAAATAACCAGAGGATTTACAGAATTCTCCATGACATTTCCTTTATTTTAATAGGACAGCTACAAATCATATATAGGAAGTGAAATTATCTTACTAATTAGATGTTCATTGTAAATCACACTAGATCTCCCTCCATAAAAAACTCCATAGAAAAAAATGCCAAATTAATTACATGTGTTTCTGTTATAAGAAACTGAATTTTAAATTAGCATGTAGGCAAAAAACTATAATAGACTCAAGCTATTAGAGGTTTACTTTTTTTGTTTTGATAAAGTTATTGATTGTATTTTCAAACTAAGGAGTATTTACCTTATGCCTAAGACAGTTATACTTTTTCCTAGAATTAAAAAAAGAAATTTCTTGAGACACAGACTAGGAACTGAATACCCTCAAGGTGATAATTAACAGAGTGGCTAACTGTAGCTGCTAAAGAATCTTCTCCTATCAACAAATGTGATTTGAAATATGAGTTTATAGGCAAGAAAAGGGATATAGTGGAAAACATATTTTTGAACAACAGAAGAACATTTTGGTAGGTAAAGTCATCTGGCCTATGTTAATTTTCTTCTTAGCTGTATCTTTGCTGTATTATGGAGGAACATTATCTGTGGGCCTAGAAGAAAACAGTATGGTGTGTATCTGCACATTTGCCCTTTCCTGGTTAACTACTCTGGTTTTTGCTGTCATGGTCTCACATTCCTCATGCAGGAAATGACTTTCATGTGTGATAACTTCTTGACAGGACTAAGCAGGATAATTGCATTCCCTGACTACAGTTCAGGACCTTGCACATGATCTATTGTAGACTAGAGGGATTAGAAAAGTTTCATTCTTTTTTTTTTCCCCTGGAAGCTTCTGGGAAAGAAGTTCTTTTTTTCCTCTGAATGGTGTGGTGTATAATGTAATGTGAGACATAAGAATCTGACCTCACAGTGGAGCTAACACAAAGAAAGAGAGCAATGGTAGGGACAAACAGGTCCTTGACAACACCATTGAGCCCTTGATATAAACTGATCCTGAAGCCTGACCTGCTGGGCTTGTTAAGTAAGGCAATAAATTCCCTTTATTGCTTAAGCCAGTTTGTTTTGTTTTGTTCATTGTTTGTAATAGAAGTTAGAAGCTGTGTTGCAAATAATGGAAAACTCAACTCAAACTGGATTAGTATCTTCTTCAGAGAATAAAAGACAGTGTTAAGACTGGCATGAAGAGGTTCTAGTCAAGAGGAAGTGTCACAAGTTCCAGTATTCCAAAGACTTCACATCCTCTATAAAATTTTACTTGAATGCCTTCATATTTTAAAAAATCACAAAAATATCTAGACGTGATATTTGGCTGAACTCTACTGTGTTTGGCTCCAGTGAGAAATATCCTTTAAGGAGCTCTCCATGTGTTGTCATCAACTATGCTTCTTTGAACATCTAACTCCTTAGAATTGCTTTCCTCTGAACCCTCCCCCCCCCCTTTTTTTTTAAATTCTGCTCTCTGAGTACAAACTACTCTCCTATCATGGCTGCCATTGTGTACACCCAAATAGAGATCCACCTTTTTAAAAAAAGGTTTTTTAAAAAAAGGTTTTTAAAAAAAACTATAAGTATCATAAGATCCAGTGATCAGGTTTCAAGGGTAATTATCCAAAGGAGCTGAAAATTTATGTCTACACAAAAACCTTCAGGTGGATGTCTAGGGTAAGTTTATTCATAATTGCCAGGACCTGGGAACAAGCAAGTTGTCTTTCAGTAGGAAAATGGATAAATAAATTGTGTTACATCCAGACAGTGGAATACTGTTTAATTTTAAAAAGAATTGAGCTATTAAGCTGTGAAAGGACATGGAGGAAAAGTAAATACTTTTACTAAGTGAACGGAGCCAATCTGAAAAGTATGATGTCGACTCTATGACATTCTGGAAAAGGTAAATTATGGAGAAGTAACAAAAATCAGTGGTTGCCAGATGTGGGGAAGGGAGTGGGGCCAGTTGAAAAGGCAGATCCCAAGTGATTTTTAGGGCTCTGAAAATACTCTGTCCATTATACTTTGTCTAAACCCATAGAATATACAATAGAGTGAGCGCTAAGG